GCTTGCTAGGCTAAAGACCTCTACTACAAAAGACTACACTAATTTCTATTCTGACGACGAGTTTGAGGTCGCAGTTTTTATAGCTCAGATTTACCAATGTGTTGTTAGCCAGTGTCTTTCCATATCTTAGTCCTTTATTAAGCGGTGGAATTCGTTCATTTACTTCTGCCGCTCTGGGTGAGGTGAGAGAGAATATTAGACTAAATTATTGACTAAAACCGAACCCGTTCCTTCTTCTGCTCCGAGCAGCGTTACATCATTACAGTTGCACCCGTAACTAGACGGCCTTTTACGCCATTCACGGGGAGGAGTAGGGTATAAATATTGTGTATTGTAGTTAACAACGCTCCTATTATTTCAATTTAAACCCACTTCCTTTTTGAGGGGTTATAGCCTACCTAAGTGCTTAGATAGAAGACGATTAGTTTGTCGGAAATCTCCGACAAACTAATGTGGCACATAGTTCAGAAGAAATTCCATTGTATATTTCAGGTACATAGTGACTATTCAGACAGTTTAAAACAGCCCCTTATTGACTGAAAACCACCCTGTAAGTACCTTTTACTCCGAGCCGCGCCACGGTAGGTACCTCAGAGCGCTTTAATCGCAACCCCAGCCGAGCAATTTAGATCTATTAATTACCATTCTATTTCTTCAAGTTTTAACACATTCAGTGCCCCCGACGCGTATGTGCGTTTCCTCGCACGCACATACGCGTCGGGGGCACTGAATGTGATAAACGACGAAATTATGTCATGTGCAATTGCATGTACCAAATATTGTACTAACTTAAACAAGATCTATCTAGAACTTAGGTTCGCGACTGCAAATAGAATTATGTACAGTTGACTATAAACTTCAATAAACCAGTAATCGTTAAAAGCTTAAAATAAATCTGTAGTCAAGCGGTTAAGTGTGGTAGGTCATTTAAGTGAGATAGACTTGCGTAAGTTATAATTAAGTTATGGTTAAGTTTTATTAAAGTAAGTACCTGTGTTACTCATGTTATTATATCGTTTTATGTAATTAAGTTTATGTTTAAAATTGTTAAGCTTGCCTCATTAAATTACCGGTACTTAGAAATACATAAGCAGTTACAAAAGGTTATATGAAGCTATCGTGGTTTTATTTCATATCTGTAATTTATATTAATAATTCATTAGGTACTTATTGCACAAAACATGTACGATTGATTTTCCCTGTAAAACGGTGCGTTCATCATTTAATTTTCACCTCTTATCTACTTATAATATGACAATATAATAATCCAGTCACAAATCACAAGTAAAATACTGAAGATTTTCGAAAGCGAAAAGTTTATTCATACTTAATAACCAATAATAATTTTATGAAAGTTATTTTGAAATCATCTAAAATTAACTGCTTTTAAGAAGGAGTATATTGCACAGGTACAGGTAGATAAATCTTAGACAGTATATTGTTGCACGTGCCGGCTCGCTAGGGGTCACTATAGTACGATAAGCGAAGTTATTCTTGGAAGGACCAAGGTTCGATCTGGGTGGGGTCCCAGCGCGATACGAGTGCGTTGATGTCTTTTGTAAGAACGCTTCATGTCTTTGCGATTTACTCTTATTCTTAAAGTAGTGTAGTTATTTATTTACAAAAGCTGTTTTTATAGTAATTATTATTTAATTTCAATTATCATTTTTTGCTGTATTTTTAGTAAAATCTATTTTGTTATGCTTTTTAGCTGCGCTTATTTATTTCAGTTTCATAATACTGTTTTAGGAGTAATATCTGTATGATCGCTCATCCACTCATACATATACAGTTAAGTTTTTATTTGAAAATTCTAGTATCCTCTTCATCCTAGGTTATTGAGGTATTTGGAAGGTTGTAAATCCTTGGTTTTTGTAGGTTTGTCCGTCAGCCATAACATTGTACATTAAACAAAACAGTTGGTACATAAAGACACACTCGATAACAATCATGGTGGCAGTTTATTTACATACCGTTAATATTAATTGTATTTTTTATGACGTGTTCACTAAAATGACTTTTACGTTTTGTTTCACCAGTGTCATTAGAGTGATCATCAGTTATTTCTTCGATACTTGGAAATTGGTATTATAAAGTCCCCTAAAGCGTTAGTTACATTGATTAAAAATAGTTTATTAAATAGAATAATGAATATGTTCAGAAAGATCTTTTTAAGATATAAAAGCTGAATTGGAGACATTTGATTATTACTTAAACTTTTTGTTATTAGTGTTGGGCTGGCGTTTGTCCACTGTCATGCCTGGTGGTAAGTGATAATGCGCCCTACGATGCAGCACTCCTACCCATAAGTAACCTATTCACTCGGACCTTGAAGATACCCATCGGGGAATGCAGATTCCCGCAGAAAATTCGACTCCTTATCGGTTCTGATGATAAAACTGAAGGAGAACACGTGCTTGTGCGGTAGGATATCCACCATGAAGCGATGACGTTTTACCGATTGTCTAGTAGCACGATGGTGGAAAGGACTAGGAGGAATCAAGTTATGCAGTTTCCACGAAAACTGTCTGAAACTATTCTAAAGTATATTTAATATGTTCCCAAGTACTGGGTTAAGTAACCATTAAATGATTCTGAGTACGCTGAGGCGATTAACCTTAATTAATTTTAACTGCTACGCTGAAGATAGAAAAAGAGTATAATATTTATGCATAAATACGAATTGTTATTAGCTGTTTAAGTATAGATAGGTATATTAGCATTCCGAAATATTTATTGAGCACTTTAATTTCATTTTATTGTGCTTACAAGTTACAGGTTTACAACTGACAACGGTTGTTTGAAGACCCCTAGAATCAAAGAACTAACAGAGTTCATTGACAAAAAAAATGACTAAAGTGAACAAAACATGTAACATTAAACAGACATGAAATTATATAATTAAAAACATTTATCCTAATCAAAAACTGTTCAATAATTCGTATGCAACTTTCGTAATATTGAAACTACATATTATAATGTGCAATATGCATATTTGTATAATCAATTATAAGCTGCCCGGCTAGACATTAGACAAATAGAAACAAATTATTGACTTAGACCTGTATATATGTAAGTGTGTCGTGTAGGTAAAAGTTGATAGCTTATAATTGGCGTCGACAATGCAACACTAACCAATCATACGGGTGAAGAAATAAGCAAAAACGATGAAACTGTTTTCGATGACAATAATTCATTAGTAAATATTAGACATTGGTTGAAAGTCTAAATGATTATGCTAAAAATACCGAACACAATGTAATACCTCGTAATGATACTATCAGTCTTAAGAACGAAGCAGAAATAGAAATGAACATTAATGATCATTAATTTGGGATCACAGAACTATTAGAAAGGACAGATGTGCACGGTGCATCGGGGCTCGACATAGCGAAACAGTAACAGTTGATTGCGTCATCCGACGCAGCAGAGAAAGGTGTCAACGATCATGACAAAATAGTTCATGCTGCTGCATTCCATGATTGTAAAGCTGATAATGAATTGTTTAAACATGAAGATGAAAAAAATGTATCCTTCAACATTCTTATATTTGTGATAATACTAGAAAAGGATGTGGGACACGTTGAAATTTAATGTGATGTGACTACTTTTTGTAAAGTTTGGAGTGTATTTGATAGATTTTGCGTGTTAATTGTAGTGTTACGTTTACTGGAGTAATCACTAGATGTAGTATAATTAGTTATTTTTGTGTTCTTAAACTTTCAAGTATTAAATAAAAAAATGCTTTGCCTATTTGCTCGCGTTTTACTAAAACTTTTTATCAAAGATTCAATATTACAACTTATTACTATGACTTTTAATATTGAGATATTTATAATAAGATTGATTAAATTTATCATCAATATCATCACAATCACCTAAAATTTCATTAGTAGAACACGTGGTTTTAACATTCTCTACTTGCACATCTCTAAGCATATTTGTGGTATTAATATTTAAGATAACTAAACATCCACTTTCGTTTTTAATATTTGCTTTACTTTAGTGCGTTCACGTGAGATCAGATTCGTTGACAAGTATCTCTGTATATCCTAGCATTGATATCGGAATGATATTTGCTTTTTACACGTAACAGATAATGATAAGAATGACACAATTTTATCAATGACAACAAAATATTTGAGATTAATTCTATGTTCTTGATTGCAACGTTGTATGTAACGCGCTCTTTACATATTTACTTTGGCTCTTTGACTGTTTGCTGTTGAATTCGACTGGCGGCTTTCAAAAGGTTTCGGATTGAGTACGGTGCTCATTCAAATAGTTCAATTTAAAGTAAAATGATGGAGACCGCTATCAGCTTTTAGTACTTAAGTCAATTTATTATGGAAATGAGAAGGTTGTACTTTCTATTATATTTAGGTATTTTCAGATCAAATATTTGATTGCAAAATTGTATATAGATCTGTTACGATTACTCAGCAACTGTACACGTAAAAGTCGGATAACATTTACGTAAGAGATTAAATTAAGCCTTCTTCTTCAATGTTGACTGATCATCGAAATATGCAGATAATGTAAGTATATTATACATGGTGTAAAATTAAAAGGTGACTTATAATTAAACTTTACTTTTTTCTAACAAGAATTGGGAGAGTTTCTCAAAAGTTTGTAGAGTGACAATAAGCTAGAAGCAATGTTTATCATTACGCTCAATGCTTTACAAGTTTTATCTCCAATGTTGAGAAACACTGTAAACACTCCTACACCACTCACTATAATAATGCAAACAGAATCAAAAAAGATTTATTCCGACTTGACAATACTCAGCAACTATGAATGTCCACTTGGAACCACGACGAATAATTTTGTTTGCAAACAACTAACAAATTGATACAAAAACTGATAGCTTACTTGGAACTAAGTTAATATCACTTGAACCAATCCAGCATCCGATTACACACCGGTTCCGACTGGACACCCACAGGAGACAAAACGAAAAAATATTGCAGAAAAAATATTTTTTTTCTTTTACTCACTTTTAAAATTCTGAAATGCGAACAACACAACACTGATCGTAAGCGAGCGTAAATTTTATTGGGCGAACGAATGTAGCGCGTCCCGTTTGACACCGGCGTGCGTTCTGCCTCACGTACGTTTCTCGTTTGGTCTTTCCGCTTCACGCTTGACGTTTTTATGGATCAGTCAACGCTGTGATTGGTCGAGGCGACGAGCCCGTCGCTACGTCACACGAAAGCCTTAGGCTCACGCAACGGATAGATTTTTACTAGTTTGGCAATTTGTGTAGAGTTGTAGCACTGTGCGGTTGTTGAATGGGCTCATTTACAAGAATGGGCTTCCCGATCCGCGAATTTTATTTTAATAAAAAATCCTTGTATTATTTGGTTGTGTTCTCTAATTGTGGATAAAATATCAAATTTCATTAATTCGGCAATAACTGAAGTAACTAAGTAACAAAATAAACGAAATCTTGTCTTTTTTGCAAGATTTTACAGAGTTTTTGTGGTCACGTACAACTCTATGGACCATAACTGAATACGGCATGAAAACCCAATTATGCATATGCACAATAAAACTCCATAAATCCCAACAAAAAATTAAGAACAAAAAAAAACACTTATTGATTTAAATAACGAATTAATCGGCACTTCGGCAGAAAAAAATACAACGCAAAAAGTCTAATCGGATGTTAAAAAGAGGTTGTAAACGTGATTAAAAAAAGAAATAAACGAAATAATTGTATAAAACTTACCCAAGTGTTATGAGAAAACGATTATAAAATCCACACAGTAGCACGGTGTTGCACTATACGTCTCTCCGAAGCTCAGAATGCTAAGCGACTAACCGACGCGACTGTCTCACTGAAATACTTGAGCACATCACACCCATTGTTTTGTCTCGCTACACAAGCACACACGTATGTACAACACACGTCTCCGTGTGTGCACAGTACACACTGATCAACTACAACTATATTACTTAATTACTTTTAATTAAATTAAATTAAAATATATTTTAAGATCACTTCTTTTTTTTCCTTATAGACGTGTGTGCGCGATGGTCAAGCGCAGCTTAATTGTGATTCGCCGTTGACTCTCGTGCTATCTCTGTCTTTTTAAAGTGTATGGAGGCGACAATAAATACTTTTCTGTTTCTTCAAGTTTCAGCGTTCGGGTCGTAGAGAACATTTTTTTACATTTTGTCGTATTGGTTTTCTTTTATTTTGGTGTTTATTTAAATATTATTTATTTTTATTCATCTAGTTTGCAGCCGTTGTAATGAAACCTCGTCAAGAATTTTAATAATTTGGAGTCAAATAATTTTAAATATTTCTCCACGCCTTTTTAGGATAAATAGTATTAAAATGGTACATTAGTATTTATAATATGTGTACTAAACAATATAAGGAAGGCGAGGGAATTTCCTTGTAACCGAAACCGCGAACAAAAGCTAATTGTTCCTTAATTGAGTGAGATGATGCACTAGCGTCTGCATTCTCAACCAATAAATTGAAAGTATCCACTGTGACGTCAGCCGCCAATGTTGGAAATATAGTTGGAGCAAATGTTGGAACCAATCCGCTATTTAAACTAGACTATAGACGTCAGACCACAAGTTTGAAGAAGACAGAAAATACCAGAAAATCATATTTTAATTTTGAAATATTTACAATTTAATGGCGTCGTAAATTAACCTAATTTTCCTTTATCTTAAACCTTCATAATGCCTTTAATCTCTTGTTAAATCAGAGGATTATCAAACCTAGCCCTGAACGATAGTGTAAAGAAAACAATATGATCTCTGCATACCGCCCGAACATAAGCGGGTGTGCACATATTATCAAAGAGAGTGATTAGATGCATTGACACACAGAGATTAGGTACATACGAGTGAGAATTTTCTTGGAAACGATAACACAGCCTTCGACGTGTCATACTATAATCTCCTTTATACTGTCATGCACTGTGGCACAGTGTCAAAATAAATTTGTATTTATGCTGGCCACTATCGCATGTTTTTTTCCACGGTGATAGGAAAATCAGCCCACTGTTCGTTGCGGGACATATGTGATGGGATGGGAATGTTGCTGGAAAAATCGCGACTGATTATTTCGTTATCTTTTTGTCCGTTCTTGACCTGTTTTTTTCAGTTAGAAGGAAATTTATCATGGAATGGTGAGGTTTACAGGTCATAGGGGCAGACAGATCTTTCAGATAATATAACGTATCTAACAATGTATTTAGGTATATGTTTTCCCCGTATTGTTTGTTGAAAATGTTTACCAATTTTTACCGTACTTTTTGATACCATGTGTTTAGATATTACTGTTTCTTACAATTACTTTGCAATTGTACATTTATTATGAACAAAACGCTTTTATGTAATTCTTTCTGTGGGAGAGCCATGGTTTGTTACGAATGGGCCGGCTCGACCGGAGGCCTCACAGAAAATTTTTGTGAGGTGAGGCGTAAGTCTCAATCCTTATTCACCTCCACAAATCCCTCACTAATACCTAAATCTTTAAAACCCCAATCCCCAAAAGGGTGGCAACGAACTCGTAATTCCTCTGGTGTTGCAGGTGTCAAGGTAATCTGTCTGCCAGTTTGCCGTCCTATCATTTACCTACAACAGAAGTATATTTCTCTAAAAATTCAGTAGATATCGGGCGTGGCATTATTTGCTATCAGTCAAATGAAAAACAATTACTTTCGTTTTGCAGATGAAGGCGCCGATAAATACAGATAAAATAACGGACAGACAGATATATTAAGAGTATCTTTCTGATATTGCCTACTGGCGCCAAAGCTGACGTCAACGAATTGAAGATATTGTGTAGTTTTGCACTTAAGAGCCAAAAAATTAAGAAAAAAAATGTTTTAAACACATTTCAAAACTTTAATGGGAAACTCATAGATTAATACTTTTTGTATTTTTTTAGGAGCGGAAATCGCCTTGGATAATGACCTCCGATGACTCTGAATGAATAGGTATCAGATTCTTATTGACTAAAAACTTTTCTGCGTTGGGCCGATCCGGAGGTGCATTAATGCACTTGCACCCGTATTAACACGTGATATGCCAGAGCGCAGATTTACTGAAATCAAATTCAATGCTTTATTTATTTACCTTTTAAATAATCGGTAACATATTACAAAAAGTTTTAAAACTTTAGTGGTTTTGGTTGCTATTTCTTTGTCTATTTCTTTTGGTACAAGAATTACAATGTAGGAAATTTGCACATGCTCGCAAACCACATAACATAGGTAGGTAGTGTTATTTAAACCAAAATATCGCCAAAAATTTTTCGTATTGTGAAAAATGGTTACGGTTATAAATGTGTTTTCAAGCCGTTTTCTGAGTCAAACAGAAAACGCAACGTTCTTAAAAAATAAGCAATTACAAGTGTGATTATTTTTGAATATTCTTTTGTTTTGATATATCGAAACTAATACTGTTTGACTAAGGAAAATGCTCAATTGTTTCATACTTCAAATTCCATAATGACGTTTATTTGACGTCAAGGTTTTGGATAAAGCTGACTAAAAAGAGAAAAATTGAGATATATCCTTAAAATGACGTATAAGTATAAGTATGTGTACATTACTACCTATACTAATATGACACAGCAAGTTCTTTCCTACCTAGTTAATCATAATTATTAGCTACTCTTGCATAAAAACCTAAAAAGAATTAAAATAATTTACTGAATTTCTATGTATTTTTCTCTACAATAGAGTGAAAAGCAATTTTAAAAAAGGTCTGATTACTTTATTTAATTTTAATTTTGTGTATATCTTTGTTTGTTTAAACCCCCTAATCTCCGGAATTACTGGTTCAAATTGAGTCATTATTATTATTTGTGTTGGATAGTCTACTTAATTAGGAAGGCCTTAGACTATAAAATATCAAGCTATGACCAATAGAATGTGAGCAGTAACTGAAATCGCGCGGCACTAGCTAGTTAAAAAAACTTGGATATCTAGATACTTACAAGAATAAGCCTAGTATCAAGTGGAAAACCCAAATATATGGGCATGTCATATCTTGATACATATTAGAATCGACAACGTCATTTTATGAATTTTGTTTTAGATCACATGTCAAATGCCTACGTCATCTTAAATTTAGAAACGAGTATGCCAATTATAGTAGTGCATACAAATATGTGTCTATATATGGTTATTTAAAATAATTAATAATGGATAAATATAATGAGGTAGTTATTGGAAAAACCTCTTAAATGAATTGGTATTTACGGCTTTAAATTGTGTACACAACAATAAATTATGGCCTAATTTAAAATACCTACACTCTTCTACATTATTGCACTTTTCACAATTAAATTTTACGTACTTTCTGTTGGGATTCGTAAAATAAATGATACAGGTTTAGATATCACGAGGAGGAGATCATTAATGTTTTACAAACTTTGTACTTGATTTAATAAAAAAAGACATGATGCAAATATAGGTATTACACGACGAAAAAAGAAGTTTAAGGGTGGAAGAGCCTTGCTTCATGTGCTACAGTAATACCACGCCCACACAGTTGGCCATATGTTTCGTCGTGTGTAAAGCTATCTGAGGCCCAGTTCTTCCCTTCCCCAATCCCTAAACACCTAAAACCCATTTTTCCTAAACGCCAGCAACACACTTGCTCCTCTTGTGTCGAGTCCATGGGCGGCGCCGATTGCTCACAATGAGAGGGCCTACCATAGCGTGTTAAAGCGTCAATCATCCGGGCGAGAAAGAGGGATGGAGGTATATACCTGTCTGTAGGCCTACAGGTACCTAGTCAGCTCGGTTGGTTCCGTAAAAATACTTGACATCACAAAATCCCGTATATCTTTTGATTAAAGGAAAATTTGCAATACTCAGTGGCGTGGAATTCGAGAGGCCAGCAGTGAAAGAAATCAGGCTGATAAAGATTAACGGAAAAATGAATTTTCCATTATAGTCTTCCAGTGCGGTAGTTCTAACATTTAAAATAAAATAATTAGGCAAATAATGTAACAATTACAGGCCAGTTAGAAATTAACATTAAACTTTACCGCTTTATTACGGAATAGGAACGCGACGCCCAAAATATTTATGTTTAGTAAATAAGATTTGCATGGTTATCTGATAACGT